ATATATATATATATATATATATATATATATATATATCAACAACAGCACGGCTTCCTTTTTCTCAGTACCAGGTGGGGGGTTTATGCAAGATTTCTTTGCTAAACACCCGATCAATTAACTCTTCCTCAAACACATGTTCTCACAAGGTAAACACAGTAGAAAACAAGTATTTCTAACTTAATATTCTCAGGTAATAAATATACAATGATGGTAACACAATAAATATTCCACTTAAAATGTTATATCAGGCCTAGAAATGTTATTTTTTTGTAACTCGAGAAAGGAAGTTTTTAATAAAATTAGAAATCCAAAGAAACATATTATTATTTTTTCATTCTACCACCTTTCTTTCAACTTACTTTCTCAACTGAATTTTAACCCTTAAGGCAGTACTTAAACTTTTGTGATCAAAATATTTCTATCAAGTACAAGAGCATAAAGATGAAAGAAATGTGAATCTGATTATTTATTACTATAGATTAATGCCTTACAAGAGGTTTGAATGTTATCTTATGTAAGGACCTTTTATATCAATGTATATATAGGTCATTAACAGATCCAAGTAGTCTTATAGTTTATACATCTATATGTAATTTTTGACTTCAAAACTAATTCAACATAAGAAAAACATCATCAGTTCATGCAAAGATTATCAAAAAAAAACATAACATTTCCAAAGTCTGAGCATTCCTATAGCTTAAAAATTATTTACAAAACTTTTTAAAAAACAACTTGAGTTCAGACATTTTTTCTTAAGTTTTTTATAGGCCAACTAAACATTTGTAGCACCTATCTTCAGAGAATAACTGAAGAGAGTATATAAACAAGTTCTTGCCCATAAGAGATGGTTGACATCAGCCAATGATTTCAGTTTCAGCAAATGTAAAAATAAACAGAAAATTTTAATCAGTATACAGATAACCATAAGTGTAATGATGGTATAATCAAGAACTTTGTCATAAATTCAAACAACAGAATTAGAAGAGATATGTGTTCCTGACACGATTATATGTAGCTTTGAATTTCTAAAGACAAGATTGTAGGTTCAGATACACTTAGTACCTTCCAGAAGGCACAATTCCTGTGTTCTCCTTCAGTCTCAAACAAACTTCTATAGTTTTTAATTCTGCTGCTGAGCCTACCCATCATCTCGGCACTGGCTAGTTGCTCTATGAACAAAGGGACCTTTCATTCTATGACTAGTAAGTAACAATTGTTTATTGGCTTGTTTACAATATTTCACCCACTTTCTAGTGCTCGAGCATAAGCATCAGCCTCCCCAGAAGGTGCCAATCTGTTATGCATTGCATACTTTACTGTCCAAAGGCGTGCAGTTCTTTCAAATGTTTTTCTATCTTCAGTGTAAAGCTTCCCAACCTCTGGTTCCATACACACGTGACAATAAGGGTCAGTTAAAAGAGACTGAATGCTAATTAGAACCTGAAAAAAAAAGTTACAAAAAAAAGACTAGTTTCTGGTAAATTTTTAAAGACTTAAATAATCCTTTAATTCCTAATATAATTTGATATACCACAAGGCATTTTTGATATGATCATACATTATGTAAAATGGATGTATGGTTAGTTTAGCAAAATCATATTGACACTACAGTTTTCATCTAGTGTTCAAAACACATGAAATCCCCTTTTTTCTCTAACAAATTATGATGATGATGATGATAGACAAATTATATATTAAACAAATATAATAATATGCAAGAACTACAGAAAGGTGTTAGTTTAGCTAGACTCAAGCATTCACAGTAATAAGTGAAATATATTAATTAAATATGGCCATTGTATTAAATATACTTTATGTTGTGCATAAACATAATGTTTTATATTACTAAAAATCTAACAGTGGAGATCTTAAAGATTACTCTGTACACATGCTGTTTACATGAATCATTACACAACACATTCTGCCACTTTACAAAAATATTCCTTCTCAAACCAATAGTAACTGAAAAATTGAATTTATTATGTTTACATAATTATCGCTTGACTAAAATAAATCAGTGTACCGAGATACACAAACCATTGCTATGTCTGAAAATTATCTAAAGTTATAAAATGATAATCATATCAACCAAACTATATTAATAAATACAGAATCATAATACTACCAAGGATATATTCATTATGATAACAAATTGGCTCATCTTTTGTCTTTGATGCTGAGCCACAACTCTATTTTACACAATTTTTCCCATAAAAAACATTAACTACTTATTCCTCATTCACAATAAATAACAAGTGATACAGAGCTATGTGTTCTAAGTTTGGATTTATGAGAACCCACCTTCGAAATTGTTAGAGCAAGACTCCAGTTGTGTGTAATTGAATCTAATCCAATATCTCCATGGCGACTCACATTAGGGTGAAAAACCTTAGTGACAAATCGAACTACAGGAGGCTCCATTGGATAACTATAAACATTTATAATAATCTTAAAGACCAAAACTATTCTACAACTTTCAACAGATCAGAAAATATATTTTTTCACAAAATTGAAATAGTAATATATTCAGCTTCTCCAATAAGGGAAAAAATTGCAAAAATTTTTAATGCAAAAAAACAAATATTTTGCTACAAAATCTAACTAAAAACTGTACTACATGATGGTTACGTTATGGATTTCCACACAAAGCTACACGAAGGCTATCTGCACTAGCTGTCCCAAATGTAGCAGTGTAATACTAGAGAGAAGGCAGCTTGTCATCACCACCCACTGCCAACTCTTTTACCAATGAATAGTGGGATTGACTGTCACACTATAATGCCGCCACGGCTGAAAGAGTGAGCATGTTTGCTGTGATTGCGAGTCGAGCACCCTAACCACATGGCCATGCCAGGCCCCTACATGAGGGAATTTATATTATCAGATATTAGAAAAATTTAAAACTGGGTGCAGTAGTAAAGTCTGATAATAACTAATCAACTAAATTACAAGTAAAGGTTACACAATGTGGTGAGAACAAAGAATTACAAAATTTAGAAATGGAATTTTATGATGCAAGTATAGAAGGCTTTTGGTCCAGAATAGAAGCAAATGTATGAAGCGTTGGCCACTAAATGTTCTATTTTTAATTCTCTTTGTGTTAAAAAATGTCATTACTAAAGTATGAATATACATATATCAAATACTATAAGGATTTCATATAGTATATATAATACCAAAACTTTATTACCTGCTTGGTATTTGTAAATATAAGAAAAAAGAGCCACCCTCATAAGGACTCTCAGTTGGACCTGAGATAGAAGCTTGCCAGTGACAGCACATTCGATCTAGAGGAGTTGCTTCTATCCCTTCTGGAGGATCAGATTGAAGAGATTTCAATTCATTTCTTAATCGTTTGGCTCGCCAGGAATCATCTCCAGGAGTCTGTTGAATCTGTTACATATATAACTTCTGAATTAGTCAATAAATTATAGGTGCAAGAAAATTTTAGAATGCTTAAGAATTGTTTTTTCTTTTTTCAAGAGTTAAAGATATATTTTTTTTAATCTTATTAAGGTGAAACCTTACCAAACACCCTATATACATATATTTCAAAACTTTTAAGTGAACAGATGAAGGGCTTGTTATTGATGAACTATTAAATCTTTGGGGTTAATTAACAGATAGCATTTGAACTTCAAATTATTTCCTTTTGATTGTGAATAAAAGTATTAGCAAGTCACAATTTTTTTCATAAATATTCCAAACAGCAAGCAGTCAACTGTTACAGTTGAAGGTACTAGATAATTTTTGTGCATGAAAAATGTGGTCATTATCATGAACCACAATAGTAGTTCATAATGGGAGGGTTACACAGGAATTTACTCAAAACTGTAAGAGAACATTTAGGCAAAAACCATCTTAAAAAGCAGACTTATTTTTGAAACAACACTCAAAACCTTCCTATTCAATAGTTAAAAGCACTCAAACATTGATATTAAGCAAAATAAGTGATTTCACTTGTTAGACAAAATCCAAATTTGCTCATTTGTTCATATGATTAGTTCACAAGCCTACAGCAAAATTGGTTTAGTATTTTGTCATGACCTATTTAAAAGTTAATTATTTTTCACTGAAAGTTGATTTACATGGTTATAAATACTTAATAGAGAAGATGATGTTCTGAGTGGCTGCTTTGTACTCAGTGCATGTTAAACATGTTTACACGAAACCTCAGGCACAAAACCTCCTGGTTTAGTAAACATTTACTTCAAAAGACATAAAGCTTTATTTAAAGCATTGTTTTAGACATATTTTTTTTTATTTGAAAAAGCTTCATTTCTACTGGTAAAATTGTATGTGTTTAGTGGGGGTTGTATCATACTCTAGGCATATATTAGCCCAATCCTGTGCATTTAAAAACTAACATAAAAGATATTTAAAAATTAAGAATTTAAAACCTACATATAGGGATCACAAAAAAGTAAGCAAACAAAGCTGGAGATCTACTGTTGATAGTTTGCTAAAGCTAAAAGACCCTATTATGACTCCACTACAAAATTATTGTAAGTGATATCTACTGTGGTGTGAGACCACACAGGAATTTTGCAAAAAACTGAAAATTAATGTTAAACTTAATTCAACTTCCTTACGTTTGTCATGCTTCAAAATTTTCTAAGTCTTTCACTTTCCACCATCAACAAATCTGGTGTTTTCTTAGCTTGCACATAAGTTAACATAAATTACATCTCAAACACCTTCTGGCACATTCATTGGAAACTGCCACATGAAAGGTACCTGATTTTGCTGTTGCATATTGTTACTCAAATCGCTACTGTTCATCATTACTTGAGTCTGATGTCTCTATGTGAATTTCTGTGACAATATTCCAGCAAGTCTTTAACATTGGATGATTACCATAGTAGATTTCCCTATTCAGACAATGGTGGTGATTTTTTCTACTGTTTCTTATACTTAGCTGAAAACGTGAGTGCATATTTAGTATTTAGCATGTAGCACTATTTCATATAGCTATTTTTAAGTAGTTGGTGTTAATGTAGTAGTTGTAAATGTTGTGAATAACTGATGAATTACGCTAAGTGTTTTGCTGTTGTCTATTTTCCATGAGTTATTTGTTATCTTATTCTAGCAAACACTTATGTACAGCAGACTGCTGAATGAAGAAAATATATATGTGACATGTAGACCTAATAAGGTAAGCATGTTACTGCATCTTTTTACATTGCATTAATCTGTGTTGTATTGTCTTAGAAGAAACACTACTCTGTTTCGATGAGATTGCTTTGTTGCTACTCATCTTTTGTTACATTACACTGTGACACTGATGGAAGCCAGTCATTAAATCTGTGATGATATAATCTTTGCATTCAAGAGGGTCCTTTGAGAACAACTTTACATTTTGTTTGTTGTAGTTGCATACCAGTATATATGTTTATTCTTTGTTCTACATTTGTTATATGTTTTGAATAAGTTTAGTGTCATGGTTTGGTGAAAAAAAAGCTAATGCAACAGTAAAACATGTAACATTCAATTGAACACATATGCATGTATGTAACTTAAAATTTATTCTCCATAAATGGGTATAAAAAAACTTCAGATACAAGATTAATAAAAATTGTTAATTTAAAAAGTGGGAATAGTGATCATCAGAGAAGTACAGAAACAAGTTGAATCAAAATGCAAAGATTATATTTTCAAGCCTACAACTAAGAACTCTAAACAAAACTGGAAATAGTATCTACATTATTTTCTCAAGATACAAATCCATATTTTGACTCCACTGAAATTAATAAGTTCTGTAGACACGTAATTTGTACTAAAACTCTAAAGCTCAAATAGGGGTGGAAAGAATACCTAAAATAGGCAGTTTGGAGTGAAGAAGTGTTACATGGTAAGGTAAAACATTATTGAGTTCAAAAAATATTTTTTTTACCCAAATACAATTTAGTTACTAAGCCTGATAAATTATAGTGGAATTCTGTGGTACTCAAATAGTAAGTTATGATATTTTTGTTATTTTAAAATGCATATATAAAACTTAAAAAACTTTTGTTTTATATTCTCCACTGTGAAATTTGATAAGACTTAGCAACTTATGGCAAATGAGTACAAAGTTTGTAACTAGAAGAGACAATTCTTAGCTATACTTCTATATTTACTCTTCTATGTTTTAAGAAAAATAAATGAAATTTAAGAACTTAATTGTAAATATTATTAATCTATATATACATATATATAATGTATTACAACTGAAATGTGACTATATATTTTGCAAAATACTGGTCCAATAGAACACAGCCACGACAGGTTACTTTGTAAAAGCTAGTTTTATATTATTGGATACAGTAACAAGAGTGCATGTGCACCATGTCATTCAACTTCTGTAAAGTTAGTCAGATGCTGCTGAAAGGTCAATAAAATAAATATTTATATAATGTATAATGTTATAAGATTTAAGCTATTTAGACTAAGCATTTGTGGTTTCTTGTTATAATTTGTAGTCATTCTAGAATGAATAAAAGCATAATTTATACCAATTTCCTAATTTTTCATGGTGGTTATGAGTTCGGTAAAATCAACCAAACCCACACAGAGAAACAATAATGAAAATAAGAGATAAAATATGATTTCTTTTCTAAACAGAAGCATTTAATGATTATCTGGAGTTTATAAAAATTTTGCATGTGAAATTTGACAATTTTCTGATGCATAAAAGTATTTTTAATCTTAAAATCAAAATTACTCTGCATGTTGGACAGCCAACATTTGAAAAGAAAAAATGCACAGGCAAATCATTGCTTAAAAAACGTCAAAGCTTAATAAAAAAAACCTGATATTTTGTGTATGAAAGCCTTGTAATGTTTACTAATAATCCGCAAAATTTTGTGAAGATACGCTTACTGTATTAAAAGTTATAGCATGAAAACTATAACAAGTACAAAATGATTATGAGGTCGGTCTCTGGAACTAAGCTCATAGTTAGAGTTAATCATTTCAAGATCGGTCAGATCACACCACACCGGAAGTGGGCAAGACATGTGGGAAATGTGAGAGGAGGAAAGTATCTATTGGAAATACATTTTCAATTTTAGAAAATGTTAACTTCCGATATGATAACTTATCTCTTCTCACAAAAAGCTAGGATCACACACTGAACATGTGGAAGGTTGGTGAGAAGATGATCCCCTTGAGGAAGTGCCTAAAGGAAAACCATAGGGTGTGAAAAGGAACTAAAAATAACACACCTGTGGGAGACTGCACCACTTCTAAGCCAGGTATAATTTTCATCTGCTAGTAATATGTCGCTAAGGGGGTGGAACAAAGGAGGGACCCCAAAGAAAAGTTACATAAATAACAGGACCCACTGGTGTAGAGTAGCTAGGACATGACAGACCATAAAGGGGTATTCGACTTCAACCAATACCTGGAGCTATCTGGAATTGTACATCAGTTTTGCAGTAGGAAGAGTGTCCTCTACCGTTCACCTCAACAACAAGTACTGACAGGAAAGAGCAGCTTCCGTACCAAGAAATTGCCTCCACAGGTGTGCACCTCCCATACAACCAACATCAGATCCACATGAAACAGAGATCCAGTGGACGGTAAGAAGTTGTGGGGCCCAGGTGGGTGTTCATTCTTAGTACAGTCCGTAGTAGAAGGAAGGAAGGAAACCAACCTTAAACCTGCAGTAATTCATGGGTCTCGTCCAGCTACAATCAAAACCAGATCCACTGGGAACTGACATCCAGTGGGCAGTAGGAAGGAGGGTGCCTCAGCTGGAGGAGCAAACTGCAATATATGATGGAGTGCATCATCCAACACCTGGAGCCATCTGGAATAGTACATCAGGTCCACGGTAGAATGAGCATCAAATGCCATGGATCATCAGAAATGGGCAGTGATTCCTGTTTGCTTTACTCATGTTAGTCCATGACCGTATGGTTCGGGACAAACATACCTACGAATGGTCCTGCGGAACACCCCATCTCAATGGTGAGCATGATATGACTTGGATATATGTTATGACTATATTTTGAAAGCACAGAAAACATGTTGATGGAGTCGATCAACCAACACCTGGTGGTATCTGGAATTGTACATCAGGCCCGAGGTAGGAGCCTCAACCTCATAATCATCTAGCACAATATGATCAGTGCAGATTTAAGACTGGCAACACTCACCACAGAGTGCAATCCAAACATGGGATAAGGGCCCCTGCAGAGAAAATGAATGGAGTACTTACCACCCACAGATAAACTGTTATAGCACTGATGATGTTCTCCAAGGGAAAATGGAAAGGTGTAGCCAGTGACATGGTAAGATGATGGAGTTTATGGGAAGAAAATAAGAAAAAGGTGACAAATATCAGAAAAAAGGGAAGAAAACAATGGGCAAATGAACTGGCAAATTTAACCCATAAGGGTAATGGGAGAGGTGAGAATTCTATAAAATAAACAAACAAACACTGAAACCACAGAAGGGAGCAGTATGTATCATATACCATCAGAGAGCCCTGACTAGACAAAGGATGTAAGTGGGATTGGAATGGTCATAAAGTTGGGAAATGGAGTGAAGGGAAAAGGATGTAAGGTAGAATTACCCTATCAAGAAGCCAAAGTCTTGAGCATAAAGGAACAATCAGAAAAAAGAAGAACACAAGAACTATGAAACAAAATGGAGTGAACAACAATTGCGAACACATCAGAATGACAACGTTCTCACACCAGCAAGAGCAGGAACACGGACTTCAAGGAAATGTGATATAATGAACACAAAAACAAAAATACAAATGTAGGACCATACTGAGGTGCTAAACAGGGAAGGAGGTCGGGGTGGACGAGAAAAGTGGAAGGTACGAAACAACCTGGATAATACTGACAACTGGGAAACACAAGCACATTTGGTAAATCTTAGATAACATTACTCTATAGTCTACAACAGAGGAAACCAAAAAGCCCCATTCATAAACTCAAGGGAAGAAGGATGGTATATGAGGAACAGTAAGATGGGAAGGACAATAACCCCTGCAGACAGGCAAACAGCAACAGCGGTATGTGTACCACTTACATTGGTAAACTGCCAGGGAGGAAGGAGGAACAGGATGGGAAATGAAGGAAGCTACATACAAATGTCTAGCCCTTCAAGCAAGGGACTGGGCAAAGCCATGCATGAAGGCAGAGTGAAGATACAGATGAATGATGCAGGCTGGAGTGGGGCTGATGGAGGAGTATCTGAGATAAAGCAAGAGAAAAGGGAGGTGACACAGAAAACTGGTGCTACAATGTACCTACGTGTGAGTCTGCCAATATGGAGTCACCAACAGAACACTACATGGAGTGTTTTCATGTATGGTAAGGACACTTGGGAGGAAATGAAAAGGAGGATATGTACATAGGTACCAACCCAACCAATCCTGAATGAGAGCATCGACTGCTCCCTCCAGAGGATGAGGAACAGGAGACCAAAATTGGGGAAGCGGTGTATTGAGAAGAGTGGCAAAAACACCAAATCTTGGACACCCAAAACCCGAAAAACATGAGGATCCAAAGACCACTTCATAGGGAAAATCAAGATGGGATAACCAATCTGTGACCAGATTCAGGGCACTCAAATGATAACATGCCAACAAAGTGAGGTGATGGCAGTAGTACCAATATAGAAGATCCAGTGTTTGACAACAGAGGTGTGTCGACCAAGTGCCCCTTGCCCGGTGACGTATGAGGATACCACAAAATGTCAGAGTGGACCATCACCAATGAGCACCAAACAGCCCACACGAAATGAAGAAAAGCCCAATGAACAGCACGAAGTTCCAAGAAATTCACATGGAGAGAGGACATGGAAAGAGACCATTGCCTTGAAACCTCCTGGGTGTCAAGATATACCCCCAAATGGAAAGAGAAGCATTCAGGATGAGGAACATCGATAGCAGTACTGTTCTGATCCATTCACCAGTTGAAGTCAGTCTGTAAGGGAGAAGGAAGGATAAGATGGCATATAAGATATCCCAAAGAAGGTTCCATTGGTCTATCAAAACCCACTGACAATAATGAGTGAGGGTGCAACCAAGAGGAATGAGGGCTTCAAGAGAAGTCCACATCCCCAAAAGAGAGAGACAGAACCTCTTGTGCTGTTGGAGAAGGAGAGGATGAGATACTGCATGCAATACATTCCACAGCTCACAATTCAAGTGGAGCAGGTAGGGCCCAATGGAGATGGGAGTTGAAAAACACCCTGAGGTGAACCAAAACTTTTGTGGGTGTGAGAAAATACTTCTTCATATTGACAAGCCAATCTACCATGACAGCATCCTGGAGAAGAAACTGGGAATGTAGGACCAAGTCATCTTGCGAGAAGGCAAGAAGCTACCAGATAGATGTCCATATAATGATGGAAATGAAAGTCCTTGGAATGAATCAGGTGGGCAAAAAATGGGATCCTAAGGAGGAGGGAAGGAAACAGGACTGCGAGACAATGAGGGGAGATGAATAGAAGTAAAGGACCAGACTTACTGAAATGACTTTCAGAACCCAGGGATCGACCACCATGGACAGCTAAATGTGAGCAAATTAAAGGAGTTTTACCCCTATCAGCCCTGACCTGAGAAGGGTGGTCAGAGTAAGATGAATATGGGAAAAGGTAATCAACTTATTGGGGTCTGATCCCCACTAAGGGAGAAATGATACCAAACAATGTGAGTCCAAATAAGAGGTGTTATAATGATGATAATCAAAAGCACGATCATCATCAGTACGTGGGGGTCGAGGCATACTGATCCCCAAATGCTAATGCTCCCCACATGAAATAATAACTCAAAGGCTTATCTCTGAGAATGGCAGGGGAGGAACCCTAGGAAAGGAAGATAAGGAAAAAACATACATGAATAATCAAATCCAGTAAAGGGGTAAGAGGTCTGGGAAAGTCCCTGAAACAACATGTGACTGAGAGGCATATTGACTGTCCAATTCAAAACTTTTTGATCACTGAAACCCTGAGGAGGTTTGATAGGACAATCATTAGTTTGTTCTGATTATTGCATGAAATTGGTCAACTCCCAACACACCACAGTCGTCACTTCACAGGCCGAGAATTGTGGTTTTGACCCATTAGACGTGGTCTGTAATTCCGCTGAAGCAGTAACAGCAGTTGGAGTCGTGACCACCTAAAACTGTGAGTGATTAACTGACAAAATTGAAAAAGAAGATAAATAAAATAATTCATAATTCCCCACAAAAGAAAATGAAAATAACAATGTAACTGAAGTAGGAAAACTAAGAAAGTAAAAACTTGTGGATAAGTGAATCAAACCACAAGCAAAAACACATCTAATCAAGAAGAATGCCAATTGAGAAGTGGTTAACAGCTGCAAGATTAGAGGCAATAGTTACGATAGGAGTAGAGTCACACTCCTATTGGTGGAGGATTGCTGCATAATCTTTTGCATATTAGTATGCAGAAATAAGTGGAAGTATCAAGGCTAGTAGCAAGTGAAAATTTGCACCAATAGAGGGCAGTATAAGTCAAGAAAGCTCTCTGTGAGGTAAGATAACGTGTCAGAATTTTAAATATAACTGACAAAGGTTGTGAAATGCAGACTTTGGGTTAAATTATGTAAATTATTTGACTAGTCATTTTCCAAATTTGATTTCATAGCTTTCATTATGGTTTGTCATACTTACCTCTAACCAAATGTATATTTTTTTGCTTTGGATAATCCCACAACTGTTTTTTTTAATGTATATTTTAAATAAAAATTAAAGTTTAAAAGTTTACTTATATTCAAAAAGCATCAATAACACAAATAGGAAAGACAAACAAGTACTGTTATTTTAGTGTATAACAAAAGCAACAACTTTTACTGAAGTCTTCTTCTGGAATACTATTTCTAATTGTCTAAACAGAAAATTCCTATTTCAAATGCCTAGATAGAAAACTCCACATAGTTTAAGAATAACTTACCTGTTCTGCCATCTGGTGTAAACAAAGAAGACAAGGTGTACTTTCTACTCTTTAAAAAAAAAAAATCAATTTAAATTAAGAAATTAAATCTTATATAATATTAAAATTTGAATTATAAACTACATTATCATGCCAAGTTTACTGATACACTCTGATACTGAAGTAGTTTAATTAAATTTTGAATATACATAGAAAAGGTTGTGACATGCACACTTTGACCTTGGCTTCCAGCCATGCACATAGGGTTAAGATATGTAAAATATTTAACAAGTCATTTTCCAAATTCCAAACTAAAGTATGTTAATACTTCTATTATTAACACACACATATACACAAATTTACCTCACGTGATTGATGTACGAAATAATAATAAGAGTACTATTTCTTTCAGAAACGAAATAATCACATAATTCAATAATATTTATCACCTGAATTAATGTTATAAAGTTTGTAGAATCTAAGTGTAATTTAAACCTTCTATTATTATTTTTTGTCATTTTTATACCTTGCAACAAAATGTTTATAATCTTAAAATATATTTACTACAAAACAAAATATAGAACAAAAGAAAAACACTAATAAAAAAATTCTCTATGTTTGCTGTAAAAAGCTTACAGTTTTGTGTACAATGTTCTCCAGCGAGACCCTCTGAACATTGCAAGAAATAGTGGCCAACGTCTTCTGACAGCACGATACCACTGATCATCATTAGTTTCTGTTTCTAATAACTGGTTCCACCGTTTACAAACTTGACCACAACTCCACAAAGACAGGTCATCCAGGTATGAAAACACTAATGATAATACTACCAAAAATTTAAATCAAGTTAATAACATTGTCAAAGTCTTATTTCTTGAACATTTTCTCTTGTGAATGAATGAAATAAATTTACACTTATCTTTGTAACAAAATTTTCACATTATAATATTTGTTATAGTGTATATGATTTCTTTTAATGACCAAATATTAATTTTTTGAGTGAAAGTAAAAAATTGTATATAATAATATGTCAACCACACAATATTTCCTTTAACCAGGCCAACTGAAATATGACAGACACAGTAGTGGTTCAAATATTACTTTAGTAAATTGCGTGACAACAACTGTTATAGTGTGAAATAGATTAAGTTAATGAAGTGTAATTTTTCATAATTTTTACTGATGTAACAATACATCAGAATTAGAGTAAAGATTTATTTAACACTATAAGGTACATTTATTTTAACACTAAATATTATCAAGTACTAATGCCAACATACATGATATGTACAATGCAAGTACTAAGTAAGCATGTGAACATGTATATAATGTAAGTACTCAGTAAACATTCTAACATGTATGTGTAGAATGTAAATAATGTGGCATAGAAGTAACTGAAAGATTGTAAGAATACAAGAGACTTAAAAAGAGAGAAAGTTGAGAAAACATAAATTAATGATTACTTTGTTTATAGGTATTAGTTTTTTAAAAGAGAAAGAGTTACTAATTGTACCTGCCTCTATAACTATTACTTGTGTGTACATACCTTCTGCTGGAAGATTTTCAGCAAGACCCTCAGGAATAGCTGCTAGCTGCTTTGGAGCTGTTAATGCTGATATACAGTCTGCGAGCCGATCAACTTTGAGGACAGATACAATAATTTTTGGTTTTTCTCCTGGCCGGTTTTGCAATGTTTCATAAAAATCAGTAGGTTCTTCATTACCAGAGTCCTCTGAATCACTTTTCTGGTGAATCAAACAAAAAAAAATTAGATACAGATGAATCAAAGATACAGCTTATTTTTTTCATCTTAAAGTGAAATGTAGCTGGGAAAAACCTTTATAAACAAATATCTTAGAATAGCAAATAGTGCTGTTATTCTTTAGAAATCAGTAGGTATAACAAGATAGAGAATTAAAATCAAGACTGAAAAAACAACATCGTATTACATCAACCACTATTTAAATGAAGGATGCTTTAATGATTTAATTTTCTTACATACTTATAGCATTTTTGTTATATTTCTTTTCTAAACATGTTTCATACACCTCCTCAAGAGAAAAAATTCCATCACCATATTTCTTTTATGAAATGAACTAAAATTCCACATTTCCAATTTGTATTTTCTAAACATTATTAATAAAATGACAACACGTTTAATACTCTGAAATACATAATTTATTTGAATTTATCATTATCATAGGGACTAACATATTCTGAATTTTAATATATACATTTATCAAGTTACACTGAAGATTTTTTAGACAATCAATCACCTTTCAATACACAAACTTTGGTATATAACCTCACCACTACTTCAACTCATCCAGCTTGTCATTTATTTCGGTATCAATTCTCCATGCCTCTACTAGTTTTTCTATAACAGATTTTCTGTGGCTGTTGCCCTTGCCCTTTGCCACAAGATTTCTTAATTCTTTCATGCTTTGGACAGATTCTGTTCTCTCTGAACAGGAGTCTGTCAACTTAACAAGGGTCGCTGCATGACTTTCCAGTTTTCGCTTCTTTTTTATGGTTACCAGTTTCATTCATGAAGCTTTTCTTTTTTTTTTTCATCTAAGTCAAGTTTTCCTTTCCTCGCTTTTTCATTGTCCAAGTAGTTCATGTATTTCTGTCTGGTCTCTGACACGGAAACTTCAAAATACTGCAAAGACCTTACCATCAGGTACTTTGCAGGACACGTTTTCTGGAGTTTTTTCACTACAACAATGAACTTTCTTGTACATAGCCTTAACATCAAGCACATCTCTTTCCCAACAAATCCAAAGTCAACTTTCTATATTCCAATGAAGTACTTTTCATCAGTTAAATCTAATTATAATTCTGGGAAGCCCAAGATTTCCCAGCACATCACTTTTAATAACTCAATATAAAAGTCATTTTATGACCTTAAACATGTCATATGCCCAAAAGTGCATCTTTGGTCTGTCTATTTGGTACAGGGTAGAAAAAGATGCTATCTACTTTGCAAATGAAATAAATATGTGAATGTTTACCTCCAACAAAAGATTTTACATCTGTTTCATAACAATTCCATAAGAGCTAGTATTTGGATCTTTAACCTTTTATTTTGAACAGCAGTAACAAATAACCTCAAATTAGGAGGAACTTGAAGAACTCTTTCAGGAACTGGAATGTTCTCAAACCACCTGTGTTTACAAAAACTTATTGGAGAGATTTCAGAGTTTGTCACATTTCTAAATTCTTCTTCAATAAGAGCTTTGAAAAACTTGTCTAGATTTCAGTCTGCTTTTGCCATTTCTGTGTTGGATGCACTATGATCTAGGAAGGTGGTGTCCTCCGTGTCCATACAGTTACTATGTAGGTGGTCCAAGAATTTTCAGTTAACAGAACAACTATCCATGGACACCTATAACAACAAAAAAATCACATAATTTTTTGTTACATAATATTTATCAATACATATTGTTATATACAAAACAATGTAACACAGAAGCACCATTAATTTTTGCCTGTATATAAGTAAAGAAAATATTCACCTACCAGCAAAACTTTTCTCCTGTCAAGATATCAAGTGCCTTTGAAAAAACTATTTAACAAGTGTTCAGCTATGGCATGGCCCATGAAATGAGATGTCAGATATCTTGTGGCAACCTAGTGAGAATTAACACCCCATAGATGAACTACAACATAGAAGATTAGAAAAGGTGAATTATCAATGACTGGTTATAGCTTCCCTGTTTATAATGTATATTGTTTCTTATTAGATTTGTAAATTATTACTTGCAGCATGACTGGGAGTATTTTCCCACTATGTACTACCACTGGTACTAGTATGTATATTTATATGCATTGAAAATGGTATTAGACCTTAATAAAGTCTGAATTATATTTATTGCAATAATTATAAATTTATTATTTATTATTATTGTAACAATGATAAATGTTTCCATTTCATATAGATATACATTCTATTGACTTTACATAATGTAAAAGAACAGATTTCTTATATTTTAAAAACTTAATGAAAAGGCTAGTAAATAATTTACAAGTTACCCTGAATGTCCATTGGCTTTGTATTCATATTCTCATTCAGATTCTTGCCAAACAGAAACACATGCCAGCTTCCTTATTTACTTGAGTCTTCAAAATGTTGGAGAAATAGAGTGCCATCCCAAATCAGCAAATGCATGCCAATTTCTTGACAATAATGGTATCAGGAAACATTAATGAAATAATCTAGCAAACCCTTTACTAGAATGATATGAATGATATTTTTCTTCTGAATATAAGGTCCAGATGATTTCTGCTTTTATTGAATTTTCTCTGGACACATATGCTTCCATTATTGCCATCTTGTTATGTTTTGTACTAGGCCTAGGCTATTCATTTGACACACCTGTTTCCTCTTTTCTACCTTTCGCAGAGTTTCTGTACATAAATTCTGGGACTTGCATATTATTCTGATTGATCTTATGCTCAAGATCTGTGTTTAGCCCCTTTCACGTGTGATTTCAATACTGCTTCTCCCACGATTGAGACGTTGAAAGATTTGTTAGAATGTAACACCCAATTATCATTGAAAGTACACTTCCCAAACATTTTCACAATTTTTCCTACCACATAATCTGTAAAATCCTTTACATATTCAAACTAGTCCATACAATTGTACTCTATAAGTTCTCTATATCAAGGTCAGCAGATTTAAGGAAGACAACTAATCAAAAAGCATGAATGCAGCCAGACTATCCTTAAATAGCTGTTAAGCTACCTTGCAATTGTGATCATTTGTTACCAGATATGCCAGTTTTTAAAAACTGTCAAATGTCAATTTTCCATGACTTTTCAAGACCTGTATGCACCCTGATTTCATAGAAACAAGATACTAGTTTTAACTAGGATTGAAAAATTATTTGTCAAGTTTAAAGTTTTAGTAAAAAGTAAATTGTACAAGGCAACTGTATTAATGTACAATATTAATTTCCTTGGAGCTACATTTAACTCATTAAAACCTTATTCAAATATTATGATAAATGTTTTCTTTCAGAACAATAATAAATGGTACATGATAATTAACAAAAGACATCTAAGAAATATAAAACGGTGTTTTGGCTAGCCTGTTTGTACTTTTCTCCAGTAAATGCACTGTTGGGTAAAATGGATATTAAACAGATAACCTTTTTGTTTTTTGGTGAACATCAGAAAAGTTATTTCTAGATTTTACTATTTTTGTAGTGAATATTACTTTTTGATAGTTTGGTTCCTCATAGTCCTTTTGGTTGTTGATATGTGGATTCCTAAAGGTTTTATTGCTCAGTGACATACTTTTTAACAGTATATAAACATTTCTTCAACAATAATTTTGTATGATATTGTTTCTTCCTTCTAACCTGTTCAAAAGATATAATGATGCAGCCTGTTAGTATACACTGTATATTTTTTACATGTACATCGTATCTGCAATTTTTATCAATTTCATCAAAATCACCATCTCCATCATCATCACTACTTTAACTACCACTGATATAATTGTTATAAACCCTTTCCATCTGAATCTCCTTCTGCTTTTTTTTTAGTCACTAAACATTCTATCATGGACAAGCTTCACCTCTTTGCAGCTTTATGAACGTAAATTTTGTATGGTAATCAACTGAGTGTGAATGGCTATGTATGGTAATGCAATACAGTGGATACAGCTTAGTTAGTTACATTACCATTCCTTCTATTGCATGATATTTGTATACATACATACATATATATATGGGCAGCTAGGAATTTGCAACAAAAATTAACACAGATAACATGAAAAGTTAGGAAGATTAATTTCTAATACAGCCACTTACAGCAATAAAATTAACAAGGCTGTCTCAACTTCTTCCCGATAAACTTCTGGTAGGAACTAAAATCATCTAATTTACAAAATCAAACTCAGATTTTCAACATTAAATAAAATAAGGCTAGCTTTGTCTCTCTTTAGGTCAAGATAAACTATGAGTATGAATGACAATACATATCAGCGATGTGTATGTGTGTGTGTGTATATGTGCAGCTCTTAGGCACTTTGTACGTATTATGGTATAGTAAGTAGTATGTGTTAGAGTTTCAATGCAAGTCTAGTCTTACTACAGGCTGTACTTTACTTGGTCAAGATTGCTGTCTTGTTTAAATGTTTTACAGGTCATTGACTGTTTCCTTAAGATACTATGTAATATTAGCATGGTTTGGGCTTATTTTTTGCAATGTAATGAAACTTCCCAAGTAATAATGCATCAACAATTAGTTGAATAAAGATGCAACTAAACACTAATTATACTTTTCAGAAATAAATATGATATAAAAATATAAAAATTCTTGAACTGGCTCTTTTTTAGTCTTTGTACATAAATACTGATGTAATTGGATCTTTTTTGAGAGTCTATGTATTTTTTTCGGACAACCTCTGTCAACCTGGAGATATGCTTAAAATCGAGCCCTGCATTCAACTACAAAAACTTCAACATACTATACCATTTCAGTAGAGCAAGCTTCATTGAATCACTTCAACTTTGAGTTTTGTATTAAGAATGGATTGAGGCTAAGGAAGTTTTCAAATACACAATATTTATCAATAAAATTCAGAAACTATTATCCACTCCACATAAGCATGAAGAGCTGTGACTAACTGAATTTGCAAGATTTTATTGTTGCTAATATTTACACATCCAAAAACATGCTTTACTGCAAACTTTGGCAAAATGGAAATTAATGTTTCTCTTTCAATCCTGAG